ATCAATAATTACTAATGTAGCATACTGAAACTTTATTATAAACACTTTTGTTTTGGCTGCTATCAATGTTTGCAGTTCAATGACTTTGATTTATGAGTGTTCACTGTGACTTTAAAAGTCTTAATGACCCCGGTAAAATATTCACTGCTGCAAAATGTCACAATTTTCACTGACCTCCGAAAATCAACAAAATTAGTAAGCAGTTCACAGTATTTACCAAATCTTCTGAAAAGAAATAATTTTTTTTCTTTAATCACTTCAGATTGTGGTTGTCATTTACATCCATAGCAACATCTGTAGTTAGAGTTTGAATTTCAGTCAATTTCAACAGCTAGTGCTTGATGGTGTTTACAAATTGGATTGACTTCTTAAACAAGATGATAATACACTCTTTGATACGTACACTATGAAGCAAATGTGCATTTCCAGTCTGAGCTGAAATTTGAGAAAACTGGAAAATATTTTGAAGAAAAACTCAAAGGCTTTTAATAGTTAAAAATATTCAAAATTTTACTTAGCTATTGAGTAGTGTTTTTATCTTTATTCACTTATTAGAATCTCTCTAGTGTGGGTGTGTATTGGTTTATTGATCTAATTCTGATGCATGAAGTGTAAAAATTACATTGATCGATGAAACTGTGGGTCAAGACAGCTGGTACAATTAGATAGATATCTTGACTGTTAGTGTCATTCCCTGTATATCTAACCAGTCCAAGTTTTAACACTTCTCTGTGAGCACCTGTGAAATTGAGAAGATGATAACAATTTGACGTGTTTGAAATAGCTCTGAACCCGTACGGCATTCAGCATTATTAATTACTATGGTCCTGTAGTTGTATAGCGGCTTTACTTCGCATGGCCGTATTGCTGTTTGATAATATCACACTTGCAATGTATCTATATGTTTTATCGCTTGAGAAATTAATATGACAATGAGTTAAATTGCAATCAATAATCTGCACAGTACTGTGAAATGCTTTATTTTCGCTTTAATTAATTTTTGCAGAAGGAGTGATTCAGTGAAAATAAAATCCAGTAAATACACATTTTTCCTATATTTACATTCAACTCGTCAAAAATCAGTGAAAATAAATTCCATACAAAAAACCAAAAAAGTCTTTTTCAGTGAAAACTAATTCCAGCTAAAATAAAATACTTACAGTACTTTGAGATAGCATTGTGAGTTTTGTTGTGCCTGTAGTGAATTCAGCATTGTTTATTCGCCATGGTAACCCAAATGACATTTCAGACTGTCACACATACATTGTATTATTTATTGTTGTTTATTGATTACCATAACAATCTATCAATATCACGTATCAATCAAAGCAAGCAAAAAGTTTTTTGTTTACCCAGGCTAAACTTACCACAAGTGTATACAAGAATATTGACATTTATTGTGTATACTTTGTAACTTTTAAGGTCGTGGGAAGGTCATCGTAATCATGCCAGCCCAGAGCCGTCCGAGTGTGTCTTGTGACGGTACCCACTGGATATAGAAACAAAAATCAAATTAATTGGCAAAGTTGCTATGGAAATAGAATTAGTTTATGTGAGTGTATGATAGCCCTATAAATAAATAATCCTTAGCGATTTTGAAAAATTAATGTCTTTTGAGATGGAATTGATGTTATTTCATTAATGATGTTTATCTCACAATGAATCTCATTTCTCATGTTCACAACTTCACCATTCATTTCAAGGATTCGTTATCTATGGCTTCATTTGAAGCAGCCATGCATACATGGTTTGAAATACTCATATTGTATGTATCGTAAAATCTGTATTAGGAGCGGCATCCTTAATAGATCCTGCACCCAATCTTTTTGAATAATTGAGAACCAAAAAATAATCATTACTCATGTGTAGATGCTCTAATAGAAGCAGCATCCCCTTTGTTTCATTGTATCATTTTAATAGAAGCTGCAGTTTGTATTACAGATTTTACTCTACTCATTTTGATGCTATCACTATAAAAACTTTACACATTGCCATGATGTGAACAAATAAAATATTGGGCTATGTTATTTTGCATCTCATATAGGAGTGCATCTCTTACAGAAGTGCATCTACTAGAGGAGTGCATTACCTATAGAAGTGCATCTCATATAGGAGTGCATCTCTTACAGAAGTGCATCTCTTTATTATTAATACAGAAGTGCATCTCTTACAGAAGTGCATCTCATATAGGAGTGCATCTCTTCCAGAAGTGCATCTACTTGAGTAGTGCATTACCTATAGAAGTGCATCTCATATTGGAGTGCATCTTTTACAGAAGTGCATCTACTAGAGTAGTGCATTCCCTATAGAAGTGCATCTCATATAGGGGTGCATCTCTTACAGAAGTGCATCTACTAGAGGAGTGCATTACCTATAGAAGTGCATCTCGTATAGAAGTGCATCTCTTACAGAAGTGCATCTACTAGAGGAGTGCATTACCTATAGAAGTGCATCTCATATAGGAGTACATCTCTTACAGAAGTGCATCTACTAGAGGAGTGCATTACCTATAGAAGTGCATCACATATAGGAGTGCATCTCTTACAGAAGTGCATCTACTAGAGGAGTGCATTACCTATAGAAGTGCATCTCATATAGGAGTGCATCTCTTACAGAAGTGCATCCACAAAAGGAGTGCATTACCTATAGAAGTGCATCTACAAGAGGAGTGCATCTCTTACAGAAGTGCATCTACTAGAGGAGTGCATTACCTATAGAAGTGCATCTCATATATAAGTGCATCTCTTACAGAAGTGCATCTACTAGAGGAGTGCATTACCTATAGAAGTGCATCTCGTATAGGAGTGCATCTCTTACAGAATACAGAAGTGCATCTACAAGAGGAGTGCATTACCTATAGAAGTGCATCTCGTATAGGAGTGCATTTCTTACAGAAGTGCATCTACAAGAGGAGTGCATTACCTATAGAAGTGCATCTCATATAGGAGTGCATCTCTTACAGAAGTGCATCTACAAGAGGAGTGCATTACCTATAGAAGTGCATCTCGTATAGGAGTGCATTTCTTACAGAAGTGCATCTACAAGAGGAGTGCATTACCTATAGAAGTGCATCTCATATAGGAGTGCATCTCTTACAGAAGTGCATCTACAAGAGGAATGCATTACCTATAGAAGTGCATCTCGTATAGGAGTGCATCTCTTACAGAAGTGCATCACCCATATTAGTGCATTACCTATAGAAGTGCATCTCATATAGGAGTGCATCTCTTACAGAAGTGCATCTACAAGAGGAGTGCATTACCTATAGAAGTGCATCTTTATAGGAGTGCTATCTCTTACAGAAGTGCATCTACAAAAGGAGTGCATTACCTATAGGAGTGCATCTCGTAAAGGAGTGCATCTCTTACAGAAGTGCATCTTTTACAGAAGTGCATCAAAACCTCTAATGTTTATTTTGGTAAAATTAATTGATTTCAGTGATGACCTTAGTTTGATGACCTTACATGAGTTTGTTGAATTTAAAATGAGAACAAATATAGTTGGCTTTTATGTGGCTGTATTTGAGTTTTTCTCAAGTTTTTATTATGCAGAGAAAAAAACACAGGAAATGATTGAATGTGATTTGTTTCAAATATTTTAGAGATGAAGTTGAAATTTAAAAAAATCTTCGAATTATATTCTCCCAGCAATATCAAAATCTGAATGGCGTTTAAGTAAATTCTTTTTCTTCTTCCTATTTTATCTAGATGCTATTGATTTACATAGTTTCCATGTTGGAGATCAGACGCCATATGTGAAGTTTTTGAAGGTGTACGAGGTGATTGACCACTTGCACGTCTTTCCAGCAACGCCAGAAACAGTTTTAAAACCACCGCTAGGTCTCGGCAGGGATGTGACTACTTATCAACTGGTGTTTGAAGCGGACATTGGGCTTCACTCACCGGAGTTCAAGATGGTACTAAGAGCACGAATGGGTGCTAAATTGTGAGTCTAAAAATTATATAATTCTGTGATTTGGTGTCTCATGAAATTGTGATATTTTATTTTTGTCACACATGCGTGTATTACTCTATTAACAGTAGTTCAGTTTGTATGTTTCTCAATTTCAGTGGAAGTGAAAAACATTTAAAAGCACTACAAAATGATGTTTTTTGAGTGAAATGCTATAGAAAGACAAACTGTAAATAATAAGGTGGTGTACCTGAGTATGTTTCAGTCACAAATATAATTTGTTAACCCTACAACTTACAATATAGGACAAAATCTCTACTATACTATGGGAACCAATGGTAAATGCGTTCTTATATCGTCAAAATGGCTGCATTTCACTAAAAATACAAACATGGTTTTCTCCAAAAATAGGCTTATGAACCCAAATCAAGAAATTTTGATATTGACGATCAAAGAGAACAATTTATTGCAAAATGGATAAATTTCTGGGTATTTTTATTCATAAGTAGGGTTTACCATAAAGGATTAAGCTCTACTACAGCAGCCTTTTTAAATACTGTAAATACTTTTCCATATTTTCCATTCAACTCATCAACAACAGTAAAAATAAATGCCATAAAAAACACCAAAGAATTCTTTTCAGCGAAAATTAATTCCAGCTAAAATGAAATATTTTACACTAATAAATTTGTTATTCAGTTAAATACATACAACGAAAAGATTCTCAAAAACTAATTCGGGTATTTTACTTTCAAATTGTCACAGCAAATAATCTTTTGGTTTTACTATTCAGTCTTTTTCAGTTGATGAACTTCAATTTTACAGTACGTAATTGTGTGTCACAATTAGGCATTTAAATTGACACAATTGAATTGCAGCGTGAATTGAATCAGTGCTCGCCTACACATTAGCAGTGTGTTGTTCAGTGATAAGACTGCAACCATGCAACATATTTAAAAACATTGTCAAACATGTCTTTTATATTTTATGCGGTAACATTTTGTTTTGCTGGAGAATGAAAGGGTGAGGTTCATCTATTTTTTTGAGATTGTCTCTAGAATTGTTATCTCCAATTGATTCGTGAAAACTTCTTTACATATTCAAGCTGAATTTATTTTTTAAATATGATAATCTGAAAATCAATTAACAAATGAAGATGGATATTAAACTCAATCTCTCATTTTATTGAACACAAACAAAAACAAATCAGAAACTAGTCCTACATTAGAAAGTATGAGTCCTCATCACGAGGAACTATTTAGTCCAAAAATCAACATTTGAACTTATTATACATACCTCATGACCATGACAGCCAATCAGATTAAGCATTATACCTAGAAATATACTAATGTTTACCTAAGATTTTTCAATGTGTACTTCCATTCAGGTGACTGAATTTTAACCAATAACTTGTCAATAACTGTTTCTCAGGCATGCCTTGGCCAATTTTATTCAAACTTTAATATATGAACACCACATATACATGTATGTAATGTATTTCAATTTGTTTTGTAATTTGATTCAAAACGGCAGACTGGCAGCCATATTGGTGTCATTTTCATGTGTCTTTACCATTTCTCAGATGCACTTTCATAGATTTGATTTAAATTTGGTACAAAGACAAGACATAATGGGTTGAATGTTATGGTCTAGCACTATTTATGAAATATGATGTTTTAATGTACAATGTACATAGCCATTTTTTTTTCAAATTCTCTCTAAGCTCATTGCTAATTAATTGGTACATATAAATTTACTTGAAATTTGCATTTTATGAACCTTTTTTTTTTAGACATGCTTGGAATGATTTCTTCATTCTTTGTAGTGTCTTGGGCTTAAAGTCATAAAAGATAACTTTAAAAATGTACCAAAAGGGACTGTGTCATTTTCGATGACTTGATTTATTCATTGTCTGTTATCGCTTCATGGCCAAGATAATGAATCATCAGTGTTCCCAGGAGTACTTCAAATCAGTCTCCTCCACTAAATGTGCTAATGATAAAAAAAACATGTTAATCACACTGATGAGATTAAAGAAATAAATAAATCATTGACCTGAACCCACATCACGACACATTAATGTTCATTAATTAATTAATTAATTTTTATGTCTTAGTGTTTTGTGAGTTTATAAAAAATAGTGCATTCAACAAAAAATGACCAATATGTTAACTTCCTTTTACTGAGTCAATGATCTTATATATTACATAGTAAGAGAACAATTGATAAAATTAGTTACATAAACATACTCGGCAACAATACAGAGTTTCTAGTTTTCCATTAGCCATAGGACATCCAACATAACAGGTGACAGTAGTAAACTTTTAAATCATTTTATTGGTCTAAAAACATCTTGAAAAATCTAAATAATTTATTCGGACCAGGATTCCACTCACACCAAAAAAAACAAGAGACTCTGTCAAACCTTGTCAAAATTACCAGAACTATTTTTGAGGGTAACAAAAACCAGAAGGAGATTTAATTTTTCTAGTTCCATTTGAATGTATAACTGATTTGAATATCATCAAATTTTGTTAAGATGCGTAACTTTTCTCCTCACAGTTTAAATAACCAAGATTCTTTATTATTTCACAGTATGGGGATTGATGTTGACGTTGCTGTCGAGAATTTAAATGTCAACGGTAAAGCTCAGGTTATTCTTCATATGAATTCTCACACGGCATTTCCTCACATCGCCAAGGCTACCATATCATTTGTTGAAAGGTATAATGTTTCATTGATTGAAACTTTTTGTATTTTTGGGTTCTAATCTGCCTACCCAGGTCGCAAATTCATGAAATCTAAGTCACCCAAAATAATTACAGTGGATGTCACCCCTGGCATTGTAGATACCCAGTGGATCAATAATGACATACGGATTGCATAATTGTATTACATGCTACAAATCATTGCAATTAGATTTGTTTAGTAATATTTATTAGACTCAGTATTGCGTTGTATTTTTTGTTTTCTCCTGTAGGCCTGATGTGTGGTTTTCCGTGCGTGTGCTCAAAGCAGTTCAACTAATGGAAATTCCTATATTAAAAGGATGGATTCACTCTTTAATAATGGAAGCATTAACCACAGGTGAACAAAAACACAACTGTTATTTCTATACAGGGAATATAAACTTTGTACAATAAATCTATTAAGCACGTCAGGATTCTGTTATATATCCACCCATTTTTTGGGGGGTTTCTAATTTGTTATTTTAATAAATGTCTATAAAGGTTTATTATTTAATCGTACTGTAAGAATTTTGGTTTAAGGCAGTAAGCAAGTAAATGTTACCTGAGTTCCCAAGTGAATTTGTTTTGTGTTTCGTTACCTCACTTTAAGGCAATACCTAATAGTGATAACACTGACCATGTAATCATGTTGAAGTTACAAAAAAAAAAGATTCCATCAACATTCAATCCTTCTTTTTAATTTGCTTTATAAAATTTCAATATTTGAGATATTGAATAACTTTTTAAATAGCTGATTTGCATGTATATTGTTGTGTTTTTGACATCATTTCATAGTAGATCTATTAGATATTATTAATCAAAATCTCTAACAGACTGTCTCATGACATGTATATATATGCAGTCAATATTAGTAATGCATACCATGTCAAATTGTTTTGATCACAATAATGGACTGACTTGTTTCTTTGTTTTTATGGGTTTTTGAAAAAAGGGGATTTATAGTTTTCTGTTAAAGTATGTCATGCTACCATTAATTGGTATATAGTTTCCATCTTAGCCAGCCATTAGGACCATTCATTCGGCCGAAGCCTCGCGGTTATGAATGACCAGCTTTAGCAAAACCCTGCGATTCAAATGATGTATAGTCTCATACTGTCTTAGAACATGATAAAACAACAAAGATGTTTTTCCCAACACTGATCTCCAGAAATTTATTTA